AGCAGAGTCTGACCCCACGTTGCTGTGAGACCCCCCGCCCTGGGTTACACGGGTGATGTGTCCCCCGTGGGAGTGGGACCAGGGATGCTGTGGGGAGGTCTTTGCCCATCCTGCTCCCAGCGGGGCTGGTTTGGGCTGGAGGAGGGGTGTGACACGAGCTGGGGGTCCCCACGCAGCACAGCACCCGTGTGCTGACAGAGAGGGGCAGCTGGAGCTGGGAGAATCGATGACTTGGGAGGGCTCAGCAGGTGATTTTTAACTCTTTCCACACCAGAGCCCGGCTGGGGGCTGATTGATGGAACCTGGGGGGCAAAGGAGGCACAACCCCCCAGGGCTGACAGTGACAGCAGGATCAGACCCATGGGGAGAGTAGGGCTTGGCTCAGGGTGCTGGGGTATCTAGAGGTGGTGAGGGTGCAGGGGTACCCCAAACTCCAGGGTTGAAAGAGGTCCCTGGGGGGGCTTGCATGCCCTGAGCCCCCACCTCCCCTGGGCCAGCCCACCCTATGTCGCACTGGAGCATGGTGCTAGAGCCACGCAGGGGGCTGGATTAGCCAGGATCAGGCCCCTGCTGTGTCAGGATAATACCGTGGCCACCAGCACGGTCTCACGTGCCTGTTCTCACCAGCAGCAGGAGGATGGAGAACAAAGCCATGTACCTTCACACCTTCAGTGAGAGGGAGAACGGCTCCATCTTCGAGGAGCCCTTCGAGGGAAGGAACCTTTCCAAACTGAACCTCTGCGAGGACGGTGAGTCCGGACTCCACGTGGGTTTTGGTCAGGGTGGAGCTTTGACCCTGGTGACACAAACCTGGAGAGTGGGGTACATGGGGACGTGGGTTGCCGAGGGAGCAGCTCAGCAGTTTGGCCCCACGCAGGCAAAGGTGTCTGGTCTGAGTCAGGTGCTCAGCTCCAGCTGTGTGTCCCAGGGAACCAGAGCAGAGGAGCAATCCCAGCCCTAGGGTGAGGGTGCCTTGGTGAAAGTACCACCATGATCATAGAATCATGGAATGGTTTGGGTTGGAAGGGACCTTAAAGATAATCCAGTTCCAAACCCCTGCCATGGGCAGGGACACCTTCCACTAGACCAGGTTGCTCCAAGCCTCATCCAGCCTGGCCTTGGACACTCCCAGGGATGGGGCATCCACAGCTTCTCTGGGCAACCTGTCCCAGTGCTCCCCACCCTCTGCGGGAAGAATTCCTTCCTGATGTCCCATCTCCATCTCCCTCTTTCTGTTTAAACCCATCACCCCTTGTCCTGTCACTCCCTGCCCTTGGAAAAGTCCCCCCCAGCTTCCTTGTAGCTGCCCAGGCACTGGAAGGGGCTCTGAGGTCTCCCCGGAGCTTCCCTTCTCCAGGCTGAACCCCCCAACTCCCCCAGCCTGTCCCCATGGCAGAGGGGCTCCAGCCCTCGGAGCATCTCCGGGGCCTCCTCTGGACTCGCTCCAACAGCTCCGTGTCCTTCTGCTGTTGGGGGCCCAGAGCTGGAGCAGAACTGCAGGGGGGGTCTCCCCAGAGCGGAGCAGAGGGGGAGAATCCCCTCCCTCGCCCCCCTGGCCACGCTGCTCTGGATCCAGCCCAGGATGGGGTTGGCTTTCTGGGCTGGCAGCACACACGGCCGGCTCATGGCCATGATGAGTGTGTGTGTCCCAAAGGGAGTGCAAAAATCCTCCTCTCCTCCTGGCACAGCCTCACTGGGAGAAACACTCGGGGAATCCCACTGCAAGGAAGTTTCTGTTCTTCCTTTGCTGTTCCCCCACTTTCTGGTCCAAGGTGGGGATGACAGACCCAGGGCGCCGTAGGCCTCTCCAGGTGCCCAGGATCTCATAGAATCCCAGCATCACGGAACGATTTGGGTTGGCAGGGACCTTAAAGATCATCTAGATCCAACCCCCCTGCCACGTGCAGGGACACCTTCCACTAGACCAGGTTGCTCCAAGCCTCATCCAGCCTGGCCTTGAAGACATCCAGGGATCTCATTTGATTCTGACACTGACCAGGGCTGTCCTCCAGGGAAAGTCACTTTGCTTGTGATTTTTGGTGTGTTTTGGGCTCCTTCAAGACTCCTGCTCTCTTGCGTGTGGCCTTGTCCAGAGATGCCCTGCATGGGATGGAAGGACTGGGGCTGTGGGACCTGTTGCATGTCCCGTACATCTTAGCTGGCATCTCTCTCCTCCATGGACCCATCGAGCTCTTTTGCTCTTCCCTTGTCCCATGAAATGCTGCCCACGTATCACCAGATCCAGGCTTGGTCCCTGAGCCAACAGCCCTGATGGATTTTTCCCGAGGCCGGGTGGGAGAGGCCAGGGTGCTCAAGCAGAGATGTGACGTCCCCTTTGCTGGCAGCTTCACTTAAGTGACCTGTGGGGCTGCTGGGGAAACTGGTCTTGTCCTCAGCTTCCCAGCGCTGCTGTCCCTCACCACAAGCCTGGGATTGGGATGAGGGAGAACTCACTTTCCTGGTTGCACATGGGACGTCCTTGGGATGCGATGGAGAGCCTCGGGTGTTTCCAGAGGGCAGCCCAAGTGCCAGGATGGGCTGCACCCAGGTACTGAGTGAGCTGGGAACACCCAGCCCTGGCAAGGTTTTTTTGGGATGCTTGCATGATGCAGGTGGCTTACGGTGGCCATTGGAAGAGATGAGATGTTGCTGCGGGGTGTCCTCCTACCCTCCAGCCTCCAGGATGGGGACAGTTTTGAGTGAGGTGATTCTCCCCTCTGCTCTTGTGAGACCCCACCTGGAGTGCTGTGTCCAGCTGTGGACCCCTCAACATCAGAAGGATATAGACCGGTTGGAATGAGTCCAGAGGAGGCCACGGAGATGCTCCGAGGGCTGGAGCCCCTCTGCTATGATGAAAGGCTGGGAGAGTTGGGCTTGTTCAGCCTGGAGAAGGGAAGGCTCCGGGGAGACCTCATTGCAGCCTTCCAGTACCT